CCAGCGGGGTAACGCTGTGCTTTACTTTCCCTTCTCCAGGCCCGAGGGGACCCCTTTCGAGGACGGTGAGTGCGGCGTGCGGGGCTGGTGTTTGGCTTTCTCGGGTTAAACTGCTGCGGTTTGACACGGCCTTGGTGTCACTGCCGTAGACTGTAACAGGTGTGGGGTTGAGGATGGGGGCTGGGGGGGCGTGGGTGCATGTTCACCTGACCACACACGTGTGTGCCTGACTTCGATAAATATTATTTTTCTAATCCTATTCTCAGAAAGTGTTGTAGGTTTAGATTGCTATGTTGACTTACAGAAGCATACAAATTAGCTTGTGCAGTCTTCCTTGTAATTGCTGTGTCTATTATAAGTAACTTTAAGGATCTCTACAAACTTTTCTGTTGAACTCTGGGTCATGTTTTTTTGGACATTAATGTTTGGGTAACCATCTTTGGGTAACTTGGTATAGAACTGTTGTCTTTTGTTTGAGTTCTGTTTTTTTCTGATGCTGGAAATGTTTTGTGAGCAAGTTCCAACATGAGTCAGCTGAAGTAGGAAATGTGCTGAATGTTTGAGGAAGTTCAGATGAGTGCCTTTTTCTTGTCATTTATTTAGTTCTGCTACAATTGGTATCACTCAGGACTTAAGATTGAAAAGACTTTTTGAGTTTAAAAGCTGACTAAATAGGTCTTGGTGACATACATGTTGTTTCCATCTGGTCTTACTGACTTTGATAGGTTTACTGATACTGTATGAGTACTTAAGCATCTTGTGAAAACCTGTTAGACATGAAGTACTGTCTAACTGAAATCAGTGATGCATTTTTTTTTAAGATATTTTCAGTGCAGGCTGTAATTAATCTTAGATCTCCATGACTCATGACAAAAGCACAGGAAAAATTCCTTAACTCTTATGTTGTTCTTGGCTAACTCCCTTGTCTTTGTTTATCCTTGGAGGTATCCACCTGTGGATATGCCTCTAAATTGCAGATTGTATTTCTCTGTGAAGGTTTTGAAAACTAAATATTTCAGGCCTAAGAAAACTCTGAAGACTAACTTATTTTTTAATGTCTTTAATTAGTTAAGAAATTTGCTGGAGTAACTGCTTCAGCAGTCTAATGTTTAGAACTTGGACTTAAAACATTGCATAATAGAACAGCTAGACTAAATGTATTTTGCTGTCTCATCTGGTAACCCTTAAAGAAGGGCCCACTTAAACTTCTGTGGGGGTTGCTAGAGCTGCTTAGGCTCTTGGAGCATTGCTGCTAATAGAGTGATTCACTGTTTGGAGCAGAAAGCTGTCTCCTTGCAGTGTGCTAAAATGCAGGTTCTTGCCATGCTCAGGCTCTTCCAGCTCAGCATGTGGTTAACAGATGCTATAAGGTTTTTTTTCCATATATTTCCATTTAGTTGCAGAAGGTTGAGGACTGCTCTTGAGGGCCCTGACATATTGATTTCCTCTGTGCTTTCTGAGGCAGAATTGAGTCTTTATTTTGGGTACTGAGGACATGTTGCACTCACAGCAGTTTGAGGTTCAGGCAGATGTTTGAGGCTTCTGCTGCTGTCTTCCTTCTTTGATTGATGTCATAATGTAATCTCAGGGGGTGATGGATTGCTCTTTTCTTAGCAAAGTCTGTGTTTTCACACTTTGTGCTCAGGAAAACAGATGTGTCTTGTGTTGCAGAATATCTGCTTATCTCCTCTCCTCTGGATGTATCTTACCTGACTAGATAACAAAGCACTAAGTGGTGCCTGGAGATAGGGCTTGTTGGAGCCTCAGCTGTGCTTTCCCATTCAGGGAGTGGAGTAGCACAGTTCAGATAATGGTAGTGCAGTCCAGATGCGGTTCAGCTTCATGTAGGTAAGAGTAAGGAAATTTTAATTTAACAGAACATTAGTTTGGACTTGTTTTACAACTGCACGGGGCCTTGAGACTTAAAGGTACACTGAAACTCTATAATCTTTCTCATGAAGCCTTTGCAGGTCAGTGTTCTTTTTAATTTTTAGGCTCTTTCACTCCATGGTGATACTGTAAAATTTCAGATAGCTTAGTTCTTGTAAAAGTAACCTGTGAAATCTGGGGGAGGGTTTGGGGTGGGGGGGTGTTATTCTAGAGATATAATAATGCCGGCATCATGAGAGTTACTGTTTTTTATCCTTGTTCTGATGAGGCCCTTCTCTGCTTGAAGTTTCTGAGATGTTGTAGTTTGTCTGGGCTGCAAACCTGAGGTTGAAACACATTTGTTTACTTGCTGTGTGGCATTCTGCAGCTGATATCCCTCCTTCTCCACCCCCAGACTTTGGAGGGTGTTCTCACAACTTGGTGCGCGGGCTGGCTCAGCTTAGGAGCAACCACTAATTTAGATCAGCAGCACAACTTCCATCGTCTGGTTTAAGAGGATTCAGTTGCAGGTGTCTGCAGTAGGACCCTGAGGATCTATATCCTGCTCATCACCATTTTTCTAAGAATCTTTATGTGTGTGGTATCTAAAGTGGTAATGCTGGCACAGCCATGGAAATCCAGGCTGTCCCAGTCCTTTAGACCTGTTTCTCTAAAACTGGGTGATGACGCTGTGGTTAGTGTAGGATTCCTGACTCAGAGAGATTTAAGTATTAAATTCAGCTTTTATAGGATCCTGCCTTGCTGTGATTGTGCAGGAGGCTTGAACAGAGAACACAAGGAATTTGTCTTCTGTGTGGTTTATGCCTTGCTTATGGAATATGGATCCTGTATCCTCATGCAGGAGTGAAAGAGCTCATCCCTGTTTTTTGGGTGGTGGAATGGAGGGTTTGCTCTTGGGGGGTGCAGTGAAGGGGCCCTGCAGGGAGATGGGCTCTGCTCTCTGGAGTTGCTGGGGTGGGTGTACAGGCCATGCAGAAGCCTCTCTTGGCTGTGTCAGGGTCTCAAATTCTGAGGTGGAAGTGATCAACAAGGTAAGTACAGGGCAAAAAGGAGAATGTTCTCCTAAGATTAGTGGTGATCCCAATATCAATAATGATAGTAAATATGATAATTTATGTTTTAAAAATGTCTGCCTAGGGTAAGTTGTGAGAAATACTAGTTGAAAGCATTAAAATTGGTGACACTGGACACTGAAGGCCTCATCCCCAGCAGTATGTTGTGATACCTGTTGTGGGCTTTGTGTGTGACCCTTGGACTTTGGTGCGTCAGATCTCTGGATTTGCCCTTTAATAAAGCTCAGTAGTGAGGGTTTGCGTACTGTGGAGCATTTCCAAAGAGCCATTGCTACTCTGGTCCCTGATGTGGAAATCTGAGTAGGTAGATACACCAGCTGGATATTGCTCCAGATGAGCCCCTTGTTCAGATTTTTGTTAAAAGAAGCGCTGCCCTGTCTCTGGTGGGACAATAGTTTCCCTTTCTTTCAGTAGTTTTAAATAGATTCTGAGACCGAACTGCACCTGTTACTGTCAAACCTGTGTGATGGTTTGTGTTTGGTTTTCAGTCTACTGCTTGCTTAGTCACTCCTTCCTCAGGAGGAGGCTACTGAGAACCCAAACTGGGGCAAAGAGAGCTGAGAGTATCTGAAGTCAAATCTCTAAGCATTTGGTTCTAAGGGGCTGATTTTTGCAGCTGATAGAAGTTGTTAATAACTTTGCACTCCTGGGTTTCAAGCTGATCTCAGACCTGGCTGTGTGCCTCTGGACTAAGCTGGAGTAAACTTGAAAACCCAACCCCACTGCAGACTTCCAGTAATTTGAACAATCCTAACTCTACTGTTCTGGCTCATTTGTTTCACAGTGAGATAGTATAGTGTTGGCTCTCTGCTGTTACATTGTTAGGCTGCTCATAAAAAAACCAAACATGCATCAACTTATTTTTAGGGTGTTGAGACTTCCCACTGCTGCAGAGAAAGTGCTAAAGCATCTGTGCTGTGTCTTCATTTGCTAACTGGAACGTCAAAGCAATGACCTTCATTTCTTGCAACTCAGTGTTACAGTTTATCTCCTTATAAAGAAAGGAGTCCCTGGGAAATCTTGTAGGTCCTCGCTGATTTCAAAGAAAAAGGAAAACCAAAAATCTGTTCTCAGGCTTACCAGTTGTTGGCACATGTTGGCAAGCCAAACAAAGGAATAACTTCATTATATTAGTACTGGAAAACTCCCTTACAGTAGGAAGCAAGGGCACTGAGCATGGAGGGGATGGGGGGAACCTGACTCATCACTGATACATAAAGATGCCCTTTCAAAAAAGGCAATATGTCCCATCAGCAGCTTGTTCCAGCTGCTGTTACTGTCAGGTGCAGTCCCTCTGCAGGAGAGCTGTACATTTATATGAAGGTGCTTCAGATATTTCTCTCTGGGCCTACCCAGGAACATCCAAAGCTGCCTACGGGGCTGGTTGCTCTTGGTGGTAGTGTGGCTGGGAGGAGCTCGCATGGTCTGCAGTGGAGTAGGCAGAGTTCCTTAGTTACCAAGCTGAATCAGGAGTAATCCTTAATCCCCTGAACCCATATGTGCAGCTTAGTTGACAGACTTCTTATTCTCAGATTGTCATAGCCTGAGGAGGAGGGCTAAAATAACTTATGTTGGTGCAGGCTGTTAAAATGGTTGGATTGAGACTCAACTACAGTTTTCTGTTTCTGCTTAATCAGTCTTTCTTTAAGGATGTCCCGTTAGTGTGAAGTAAATGGTTCGGTTAATGTTTTAAAGTGTCAGATTTGGATGCTGCATTCGATACTACTTTTCTGCAAGACCTGATTACCTGCAGTTGAGAAACATGACTTTTTCTTTTTTTTTTTATCTCTTTTTTTTTTTTTTTAATTTAGAGGAAATAAATGACAAGGTCCTTGCCATGACAGCATATTCCATAGATAGGACTCACCGAGTGACGTTGTGTTACACAGATGGTTCTACACCCACTGCTGTTGTGTGTACAGTGTAGTGGGATTAGGCTTTCTGGAAGAGAACCACAAGGGTAGATTTATTTCCCTACATAAACCTTTTGACTGGTTTTGGCAATAAAAGTAAGTCACAGGAATTAGTCTTGCACCAGTACTGTTTGTGACTTCAGCATTAATGATTAACTCTGTGAGAGTAAAGGAATTGCTGTGGGATTGCAGTCTGTGTTCCATATCCAACAAGCCTGTGTGAGCACAATAGTGTCAGTGTGTATTGTGGGGCTGCTGCTTAAGCATCTCTTGTGTAAATTCATGATGAATAAAGGTAGCTTATCTCTTTTTCAACTCCAGGAACTTTCAAACTTACAATAGAATTCACAGAAGAATACCCAAATAAGCCACCTACTGTCAGATTTGTCTCTAAAATGTTTCATCCAAATGGTAAGTACTTACGTGTTGCTTGGGTTTACTTTTGCTGTTTTGTTGGAGGTTTGGTGGGGGGGGGGGAAGTGAGAGCTGGGTTTGTTTTTGTTATAGCTTGCTGTATAAAAAGTCTACTTATTATAAAAGTTTCCACTATCTAATAAGGCAGAAAATTGCAGTGTGGTTGTGTAGTTTTGGTAAGGATGGATATGTGAGTAGTGCTCAGGCTTGAAAAGAAAGGGGCAATAAAAGGAGCCTCTTACCTTTCAGGTGTTACAGCACAGTACTGATGAGACACTCAACTGCCTGTTGAGCCTTACAGAAGAATGTTTTGTACTTAAATAGCAGTGCTTTGGACTTCTGTCTGTATGTATTGTAGACATAGCATAGTGACACCGGTGAATGCAGCTGTCTTCTATCACTTTTCTTCACCAAAATGCCTGTAAGAATGATATACCATGAAATACAGTGTTAGGGTCCAGCTATAGCCAGTGACAGTAAGCTTGTTTCATTAATCCCCTTCCTTGGTAACTAAAGGCTGGAGAGGTATTCCTTGCCTCCAAATATATAATAACTTTGTGCAGAAATACCAGAAACTTTCCAAAATGGCAAGTGTGGGTACAGTGCAGGGAGGGAAGGTTCTCCTGTAGCTGCTGTGCAAGTAAGGTGACTGGACTCTGTTTCATGGGGAAACCTTGAGTGTGAACAACTGTTTGTGGGTGTTCTGTGGTTCACTTCTGGGTAGCTAATTTTTTTCTTTTTTGCCTTAAAATCTGTTAATTTTCCACACAGTAGTTTCAATGACACAGAAGTTTGTGAGAGAATAACCAGGGGTTGAGTTTAAATACTTCAGGCTTCTGTTGGTGAGGAGATTACTGCTTCCTGCCTACAGGCCTGTTTGCAGGATTTCAGCCTGTCAGACACTATGGACTGTTGCAGTGTCTGTACACAGGTTTCCAGGATCAGGCAATACTGGGGAGAAAAGCCAGTAGCTGTACAAGTTGTGGTTTAAGCTTCTTTTTTTCCTTTCCAGTCTATGCAGACGGTAGTATATGTCTGGATATCCTTCAGAATCGCTGGAGCCCCACTTATGATGTCTCCTCCATCTTAACATCCATACAGGTAAAAGAACTCTGCACAGAGACAGAATGACATTAGGATGCTTTGACAAAAATAGCTCAGGAAACTTTTTGTCCCCTCTCCTAAAAGTCAGTATAGCAGCTATACCTTGATATTGGCAAAGTGTGAATCCTTCCCAGGTGTAAACTGGCCAGGCAGTGACACAGGTGGTCACTGCAGGGAGCCACCAGTGCTTGGCTGTCACAGCAAGTCACCTGCACTGTGCAGGGGTGATGCTGGTGGCCAAAGCCTCTAAAGCCTTCCAGCTGCAGGGATGCAGTGTGCTGCACCTGCACTAACATCTCTGCTCTGACTAGTATGGATCATTTAGAAAATGTGTTGGAAAGCTGTACTTGGCAGTGCCTAAGGATCTTTTTCTCTTTGCACAGTCCCTATTGGATGAGCCAAATCCGAACAGTCCAGCAAACAGCCAGGCAGCTCAGCTATACCAAGAGAATAAGCGGGAATATGAAAAACGGGTTTCTGCAATAGTAGAACAGAGCTGGCGTGACTGTTGACCCAGGATGATGCAAATGAACACTGTTGATGAGGAAAATAAACAAAGTGTCCGAGTCATCTTTTTCCTCCTAGCATTTACTTTGCAAGCAAAATAGCTGTTGTGCTGTTGCCACCCTCCCTTGCTGAAGCTACTTCTCCTTGGACATCAGAACGCACCCACTTTGAAGTCAAACGTTCTGTACTTGGGTTACTTGCAAAAGAGTTACTGATGCTGAATTCATTTTCTGTGGTCCCTCTCCAGTCTTAGGGCAGTATTGTGCATTTCTGTAGTGTACACTAAGCTTTTAATTGTAATTGTGTTATACACAGTGATGCTTATGTGTAGCTTGATAAAAGGGATGTTTATATACATACACATTTTTTAACTGATATTAACTAAAGTGCTGATGTGTCCAGGCTGGTCACTTACCTCTACAATCGGTTTAGACCCCACTGCATTTGTAATTACTGGGTGAAGAAATCATCTTTTGTTTCCCTTTTCTGTTGGTTTATCAACTCCTTTACTCATGTTAAAAAAAAAATCAACTCTTCAATTGATTCCAATTCAAAAATGTAGTAAGACCCTGGAATGCTTGTTACTTCTGCACTTCACATGCAAGATTTATGTACAGATCTACATAAATCACTATGGCTGTGGTACTTGGATCTTTGCTGAGGGTGAGAAACAAGCCCTTTTTTTTTTTTTTTAAATTACTATTTTAAAGGACATGCCTACAGAAACTGTCAGTAGGTTTCTATAGTCTTGTCACCAAGACATTACTGGACAAAACCAGGTAGAGCTGTGGTACTCAGCAAAAGGCCTTCCACGTTAAGGAAGAGGTAAAACCTGACCTGTTCCGGCGATGGAATTACTCTCCTTCGGTGTCTCTCCTGCCCCTTATCTTTAGCTGAGAAAGATAAGTTGTTTGGGATCTAACTTTGTCTTGTGGAAAGTTTGAATTAAGTCCATGGTAGGCACTTGGGTCTCTGCAGTTTCTGCTCTTAGTAGATGACTGTGTGGTTTGTGTGAGCTACTGCTGCATGCTTGAGTTCATTCCCTTCAGTTTTATGAAAGTATTTTTTCAATTCTGAAAAAAAACATTTGTAAGTCCAGTCACTTTTTTTGTAAGGCAAGTTTGTACCTTTGGATACAGAACCTTAAGCAGCAGTGTGGGATGGAACCTGCAATTGTGTTGTCCACTGTTCCAGTGTCTTTTGTGTGCACATTGGTCTGTTAGTTGAAAAGTATAACTTTGCACAAGTAACCCATGTAAGAAACTGTACATTTTTCAAAAGTTGTAAATAAAGTGTAACCTTAGTGCTTATTGTATAAATAGGCAAGAAGCGTATAACTGTGCTTTTTTAACTGGGCTGGCAGCAGTTGGGTGTGGGGTGAAGCTCCAGCACTGTGCAGTACTTCCAGCTGTGGGCAGCCCCGGAGGGAGAGGCGTGCCCGGGGTCGTGCAGGGGCGGGGCCGTGGAGAGACAGGGCTGGGGCCCCGAGTCAGCTACAGCAGCGTCTTGGGCTTAGTTGCTACAGGAATTGCATTTATGTTCCTCCTGTCTTAGCAGGTGCAGAACAGCATTGATGATGAGTGGCAGATAACAGAAGCTGGTTATTTTATATTATAAGTGGCTGGGCTCTTTCAAAACGTTTACTGCAGATTTGTACCTGCAATGACAACAGCTTGTACCCCGAACAGCCTTGTGCTTTACGTGGAGCAGCTGTACTGCCTGCTGCAGGCACAACCCTTTCTGAAGGGGCCAAGTCCCTCTAAGGCCACAGAGGCCCTTGTAGCAGTCCCACCATTCTTGTGTTTGTTTCATCAGTTAAAAAAACCCAAAACAACAGAGTGAACTCTCAAGGCAGGCAGAACTGATCAACACAGGGGTACCAAGGAAAATCAATCCCACCTTCAACCTTGCTCAGGCAAGGCCTTTTATCCACAGACTGCAGCATATCCCCCAAGCTGCCTCTCCCGAAGGCTGAGGCTCCGCAGCCCCCTGGGGTCAGCGGCGCTGCCGTTCTCTGCTCCCATGTAAGGCTCTGGCAGCCAAACCCAGAGCCCCCCACTGGGTCCTGCACAGGCACTGTGCGTGGCACAGGGGTCACAGCCCTGACCCAGGACAGGAAAGGCAATGTCCTGCACTGACCAGCTGCCCCTGCTGAGCTACAGGGACTACAGCTAGGCCACACCTCTCCCAAAAGAGGCATTTTTCATCCTGAATACCAGTGCTGGTCTTACTGCCTTCATTGGCATCACCAAGCTCTAACAACCTGCTGCATACCCAGGTTAGGGAGGAGCTTCACTTCTTTCCCTAGAAAGTACCAGGCTTCTTCCACTCCTACAGAACCATCTGCTAAAGCCCAGTGTTCTCAAGAGCAGAATTCATACACAGGGACAAGAAATAATGCACAAAAAGCAATCCCCAAGAAAAAGAAAATACTTTCAGAATTAACTGTTGTATTTTCACAGCAGCAGCAAGTTGTTACTCAGCAGGCCAAGCAAGCAGAAGCTGTGCTGCAGCCAGACACAGAGGAGAGGACTCGTGCTCTCTGCTGCCCGAGTCTCACCTGCCAGGGCAGTCTCTTCCTCATCACCCTGCAGGGATGAAAATCCCTCTAACTGCTCAGCACCAGGATATTCTGAGGTTAGGCATCCTCACCTCAGCTCTGAGAGCATTTAAAAACAAAGCAGAACAGGAGGTGAGAGAAAAGATAGAGGAGGGTGTAATGATTTGGGGAGGCAAATAAAAGCAACGGAAAACTGAAGGTGATGGCTGAGACAGGGTAACAGGAGACCAGACAAAAACATTGCATTCTGGCTTAGCAGTACAGAAGCATCTGCAGGCCCCGCTGCTGACACAGTAACCAGCATCTCTAGGCCTGCCTCACTCCTGGCTCTTCCAAGGTCAATTGCTATCCTTCAAGCTTCCCAAGCACGAAGTGAGCGTTCTCCAAGACTCACAGAGCACTGTGTCCTGTAACCCTGCCAGCAGAGCAGTGCAGATGGAGGTCAGAGGCTGCTTCCCCGCAAAGGAGGAAAGCACTCTGGCCTCCCAGTGGCATAAGCCAGCCCTGGAGAGCTTCCACACACACACGGTCAGAGCAAGGCCAGAAGTTTCCTAGGGAATCACGCTCAACAGACACAAGCACCAGTACAGGGATGGAGCAGAGAAATAACCAGGCACAGATTCGGTTTTGTTCAGGATTAAAGAGCTGATATTCCAAGTAAAAAAATTAGTTATATAACAGTCCCCACAAGCTACATGAGCATCTTTGAGCGTGGGCTCTGCATTTACCTCCAGTTTTTATATTTCACACTTCACCATGGTATCTGCACATGTCAACCGTTCTCCAAGGTAGACACACGCTGGGGTTCTCTGTCCCATTCGCTGGCAATGAAGGCGCCTTCAGTGACTTTTCAGAATGGGAGACTCAAGGTAGAATTCTATGAATAAAACTACCACTACACTGGTTAAGGTTTACATACTGTACATACACACACAGCAGAGACAAAACCTTGATATATGTATTTCTCAAGAATAATCAAGTTTTCACACTTTTTTTAATACAAAGTGTGACAAAACCTTTTTTTTTCCAGAAATAAAACTTTATTTTTGTTGTCATTAATACCAATTTTACATACAAGTTTATGCCCCCAAACTGCATTTCCTTTGCTTTTTTAACTTTTTTTCAAAAAGGTTTTTTTTTTTTTTCCCTTCCTTGCTCAAGAAGAGTAAGGGACCTATAATTTTAAATGATGTCAAATTCCTTCTCATTGGACATGTGTGTTAGCTATTACAAAACTATTAAAATGTGAAGGAACAGTAATATCAAAGACACATACAGTAACAGCACTACTGCTTTTGGCTTGTGCTAATGCGCTTGAACAGAATTCGGTCGGTCCTAAACACCTAACAACATTTTAGAAATTATATTGCCAAAGTAAAAGACATTAATGTCATTATTACCCACAAGAAAAATGCAGCATCTCTTTCTTTAGTCGAGTGTCCAAGAAACTCAGTCTCTGGTCAAAGGGGACACCTCACCTCAGTTTGCTTGGGGCATGATAAGCTCATAATGCCCAACCTGGCCTTCCTGCTTCAACTGGTCTAACAGATCTTCCTTGCGCCGCTTCCTGCTCACCACCAAGTATCTGTTGTGTCCCTGCCCATGGGATTTACTTTTAAGACCATATTTTTGGGCAATTTGATGTATCTGCTTCCGCTCATCCATGGTCAGTTCTCTAGAGAAAGTCAAGTCAATGTGACTGTCTGAGCGTGCATAGTTTCGAATGATCTCTTCAATATCTCTCTTAGCGATTCTGTTCACCCTTTCTACATCAAGCCCAAGTCCTTCTCTTTTGAACTGCTCCTTTACTGAAATAGGCTCCCTAATTCCTTCACCATCTTTCCCTAGGCCACCACCTGTCCAGCCCATCTTTCTTAAAATTTGGTTCCCAATGTTGTCTTCTTTGATCTTCTGTTTGAAAGCCTCTGCTGCTGATCGACCCCGAATCTCATTTCTGGAGATGACGTCTTCGACAGTGCCTTTCTTCAGGTTATTAACAACAGTTGGCTGAGTCTTTTTGAGGATTTTCACAGCTTCCTCTGCTGCCTCATGCTTGACAGATTTCTTCACTCCAACTGCTTCTGCGATGAATTCATCTTCAAGCATCACCTTGCATTTCCACCGCATGCCTGTCATCCTCTCAAAGACGTATTCCACCGTCATCTTGTTGAACTGGGCGGTGTCGTTCAGGGTACACACCGGGTTACTGGAGTTCTCATAGATCACCAGGTCTTTCAGGTCCTTCTTCCTCCCGGAGCCCCGTGATGAGCAACCCACTTTCTGCACCTGGGTCACTTTGAGGGATGCTATATTTGACTGCATCTTCTGCAGGATCTTCAGTGCCTCCTCAGCTGCTGCATGCTTGCTGGTCTTTTTTGTGCCAAATCCCTCGGCCAGGCAGTGATCTTGGAGATACACCTGACAACGCCACGAGCGGTTAGGCATTAATTCATACTTATATTCAACGGACATTTTGTTATATGAGGCAGAATTGTTAAGTATTCCTATTGCATCGCTGGCATTCTCTGTGAGGACAAAACTAGTCCAGTCTTTGTTGGTATTCGTGGAACCTTTCATGGATTCAGTACCAGGCTGCATTGGGACACAGTCCCTGTTGGCAACTACGAACTCCTCATGAGGTTTAAGAGCGGGAGGGAAATCTGGGCGACACACACCTGCCTCACACACCACCAGGTCCTCGTGGTAGGTGTGCTTGAACTTCCGCTGAACAACTCGAACTTCCACGGATTTCTTCAGCAGCTTCACTGCCTGCTCCGCGGCTCGATCCCGGGATCCGTTCTTGCTGCCGGCGTAGCCGGTGGCCAGGTAGACGTTCTGACACCGCACCTCACAAGCAAAGCCATCTGTCAAGAGCTTCTTGCTCTTGGGGAGGTCAGCAGGGGCAATCTCTTTCAGAGGAACATAAATATATTCAGGGTTTGTCTTGCATGCCTGAATTGAACGTGTCAAAAGATACGTGAAGTTAATTTTATCCGTCCCAGTGTTGGCATCTGGATTAGTAAGATTTTTCCAGACTGCTGCAGATAGTTTCTCCATAAAGCTCTGCTTCAGCATTATTGCTGACGGAGGGAAAGTCTCTGATGCAGATGGGGCAGTTGAAGGGGGAACAGAAACCTGCAAGGTGCTGCTTGTGGTAGAGTCCACATTATTCACAGCCTTCTTGGCTGCTGCTGCTGGGCCTGCAAAGCCAAGCCCAGCTGAGCTGGAGAGCTGGGGATCCACCTCTCGTGCATTCACAATGGAATTTGTACAGTTTTCAGCTGGCTGTGCCACGTTGTTTGTATTTGCCTCCTGGTTCACCCCCCGCATTTGGTTATCCAGAGAATTGTCCTTCTTGCCATCCTTCTCAGCGCTGCTGACAAAATGTATGGGCTCAAAGCGTGGTCGCACTCGGAACTTGGGGACCACCTTTTTGGGTGGCTCAGGAACCTCTTCTGGCTCTGGACCTATGAGATGGAAGAAAATTACACAGTTACCAATATGTGCTATGACAAGGAGATGGTGTTTTCAGAAAGTGATCTTCAAGAGGAGCCTGCAGGCTCTGAACACAGGATTTGCATTCCTTAGCCAAAACCCAAAAAAGTTTCCTTCCAAAAGACATTCACAATTCAAAGACAACCAGCCATTCTTGTGCAGGTCACAAACGTGGTATTTCCACCTTCACAGCTACCACACAAAAATCTCTACATATTTAGTCACATGATGCTGCCTTCCAGCATTGCCCACTGACTCATCTGGTCATTTC